CCTCAGAATTTCTTCATCATTGGGCTATCAAACCCAACATTCAAGCATTCACAAGCCAGCATCTCAAGCATACAAAGGCGACCAGGAGAAGATGAGGTAACAACTCAGTAAAACAACATATCAGAAGCATACATAAACATATAAGCCAGGCCCACAGAAGAAGCAGTCGAAGGCAACCCTAACAAGCATTCCAAGAGGCAACCAGAAGGAGATAAAGAAGTCTACTCAGAAACATAAAGAGTTCATCACAAGGGCCCTCAGAAAGCTTCATCATTGGGCTAATAAAGTCAAAATCATACAGCAATCATCAAAGGCCAAGCATACAACGAGTCAACGAGAGGAAGAGGAAAATCAAACATACAAAGCATCAAGAGCAAGAGGAAGAAAAGAAGATATAAGGGTTTTCAGAAAGACATCACAAAACCCAACACAAACCAGGAATCTAGGCAAGCGTCTTCAACGTCTCTCCGCCGTCAAAAGCCCTCCTCGACGCCTCCGGTTCATCCTCCTCCTTCTCCAAGATCGAAGGTAGTATAATTTCATTTCTTCCCTTTCATGATCCTCAAACAACAAGACAAATGACAAACATTTTAAAATCAGAAGCAATACATGCAAAAATCAAAAACAAAGAAAACCTAAAAAAGGGTTCCAGATCGTTACTCTTTTCGCGCTTGGTTTGATCCATCCATGGAGGAAGAGAGGAGGTGATGATGGCGTTGGTGGCTTAGGCGAAAGAGAAGCTTTGAAGCTGCCAAAACAAAGACGAAGCAAAACGAATGGACGACGTCGCCGCTCTCAGCAAGCCTTAAGCTTTTTCCCCAATTGAAAACAATTCTCACAACCCTAAAAACATTTGTCAAACTTGATGGGCCTCGCCCATCTCTGAAGCACTAAAGCCCAAAACACGTTCCAAGTTCACACCCCCCTGCTCTTTTCATTTTCTCTAAATCATATTTGGGCCTCAAACTTTAAAGCCCTTTTCTGATTCCTTTCAAAACTTTTTTTTAACTATCACATTCTTTTTTATACCAATTAACATGAGTTTTTTTTATTACATCAAATTTTTTTATAATATTTTTTATAACATAATCCTAATTTTGAATATAATATATTTTTCCTCTAACTTAAAATATTTTCATTTTGTACATTAATATCTTAATACCTTAATATATTAATACATAATAAATGAAAATACATCTTTTATACATAATATAATTAAAATTGAAAACATTTTTTCTTTCTTTTAATTAAAATACCTCTTTTGTATATATTAAACACAAAATATAAAGATACAAATTTATATCAAATGTAAATAATAATTTTGAAACTTAGAACATTCTCTTTTCTTTTATTAAATTTTCTTTTTGTACATATTAAAGAAATATACAAGACTACAAAAAATTAAATAAAGAAAATATTTAATTCCTTTCTTTAAGTTAAAACAATACTTAATAATACACATTAAAATTCACATTTTCTTAACTTGTAAATAAATTACATACATATATACACTTACACGTACACCTACACAATACCCTTTACATTTGACAATATACATTTGCTATTCTTATACTTTATATTACATTGTTTACATGTGATCGCGATTCAATTTGGTTGTAAATTATTGGACACTACATTCCTAAAGTCTCATCCCCATTTGTAAATTTGCACCCCCACTCTCGGATACTATTTATAATAGCGTAGACTTTAAATTCTTGCAATTTACCGCTTTCCAATTATACCATGGTTAGACCTAGGGTTTACATGTACATAAAATCAAACGCTAGATAACCTAATACAAGACAAATACATGAAATCAATACACAATCACACTTGCACCCCCTAGGGTAATCCCACATGTTGCCTTCCAAAATGGGCCATGCTTGCACGTCGAGTTTCTTTGGCGAAACAAATTCAAATGATCATAAGTCCCTTGATGACGCTTTCGAAAGTTGCCTAAAAACGGAATGATCATAGTCCCTTCAAGTAAATTGCCAAAGACACTTGGCACCATTGCATTCATGGCCCATACGATGACCCGCGCTTGTCCCGAACAAACTTCCTAAACGCAAGATTGTCTACCAAATTCAATGGTGGAACAAAATTGTTAAAAAGGGTTGAAAACATAGAGAAAACTTTTGAGTACAATAGGGGTAGGCCAAACTCTTAGTTACTTGAGATCAACTTGCAAAAACACTTGCTTCTTTTCAAAAACCACACTTCATACACACTTTCAAACAACTCTCAAAAACATTTTGAAACATCTTTTCGAAAAGATACACACTTTTGTAAAACACTCAAACACGAGTCAAATACAACGGTTGCCTAAGACAAGGCATTTCTTCAAAAACATTTTCAAAACACACACACACACCACAATTTCAAGCAATTGAAAATCAAGGCAAGTGATCTAAAAACCAAGTAACTAAGAGCCCATGGATAACCATGGATGAAAAGGGTGCTAATACCTTCCCTTTTCATAATCTACCCCCCGAACCCACGAAATATCTCAAAAGGTTTTTGCTGTGCTTTTTAACCTTTCCTTTAGGATAAAATAAAAAGTCGGTGGAGACTCTTGCTCAACCGAACAAGTGCGAATACAAACGCAAACCTCAAGTCAGTTCTCCCACCGTATCACATCTTCATTGAAATCTCTCCTATTTATAGAAGAGAAATTGGCAGTTAAGAAAAATTAGGAACGTGGACTTGTACTGCTTTAGTGGAGAAAGACCAGTACTGGACGTTGGTGAGGTTGAGAAATTGTAGGAGTTTGAAAAGATCCTTCCATCACGTTGTCCACGTCTCTTGTTCTTCATGATGTTGAATTACGCGTGTGACGGTCGTAAGGAAGAGGTGACGGTCGTAATACACTTAAATAGCGTGTTACGTTTGTCAATGATGTGTGACGAGCGTTCTTCATGTTGTGAGCGCGTTACGCTCGTAATGGACGTGTGACGACCGTCACAACATCAAACTTTGCAGAATTTTGCAGATTAATTCCTTTTCTTCTGACTTTCATGTTAGCTTTCTTCGTATGATCTTTTTCACTAAATTGATTTGAAACATGTTGTACCTGTGAAAAGACATAAAAACTCGGAATAATCGGGAGTTAAATGGATTAATGCAGTATGAAAATGAATTAAAAACGTAGCAATTATATGATACGATTTCTCGTTATCATTGAGGGAGACTAGTGACACATTAGCATGATAAAATAATGTTTATCATTATTGTATTTTTAATTTTTGAAATACTATAACAACAAAATTTATATTTAAATAAATTGTCTAAATCCTCCAAAATTCTCCTCCAATACAAATTTTGAGTTCTCCCAGATTAGAGAGTTTTTGGTGTTATGAAGAAAAGGAAACCCACCAAAACCCTCATAATCAAAATCTTTCTATTCGTTTCACCATTCCTTTCTATATTTCAAAGCCCCTCTCCCTTCCCCTCTAAACTCTCAACCAAAGCCTTAAGAAAATTACAATCAGTTGAATTATAATAAAAACCTCTCAAGTATGAGGAGATAGGCGAAACTCAAAGTAGTGTAAATCATTATAGATTTTTTGTGTCAATTTTCTTTTCTTATCTCTTTACATTTAACATTTGTATTTGAATTGGTTTTTATTGGAAATATTCATAAGACGATTTTAAACTCTAACACAATTCAACTCTCCCTCCTCCTATTTTCTTGTATTTTTCTTTTCTTCACATATTTTCGATTTAAATATTCAAAACAAACATATTGATTTAGAAAATTTCGGCTTGAATATTCAAACGGAAAAACTTGTCAATTAACAATAATTTTTCAAGAATTTTTTGTACTTGAGATTTTATTATTCAAATTAAATATATTGTATCATTTTCAAACTTGAATCTTTATTTAAAAAAATTATTGTGGAGTGAGAGTAAGGCCACTAAGAAAATCAATTGGGTCCACTGAAACAGGTGATGTGTCGAGGGAAAGAGGAATCGGAGTTAGACATAAAAAATATGAAAGCTTTCACCTTTGTATTATTAGAAAAATGAAAATAGCACATTCTCTTAACAAAAAACAGTTTATAATATAAAGTTCTGACAGATAAATATTGATAAGACAAACGGTAGAATCATCCGTTGCTTATTTTATATATATATATATATATATATATATATATATATATATATATATATATATATATATATGAATTGAGGTCCAATTCAAAAATAAATTTTATATAATGGATAATGAATCAGTTTCTTTTATGAATAGTTTTTTTATGATATAGTCAATAATGAACATTTCCTTTTGATAAAATATAACTAGGCAGTTAAAATAACTCAAATTAAAAGAAAAAAAAAAACTAAATTCTCTGTATTAAAAAAAAATTAGTATAGTATCCGTATTCCGTACGACTCATCGTTTAACTTAGTAATAATGAACTAAAATAAAATAATTCAGATACACTATCTTTAAACATTAGAAACACTTGGTCAAGCCTGAAAATAAATGTTGTAATACGTGCACTGAACCTATTCTATTATTTTTCGTTCATTCAATTTAATGAATTAATCCACACCGGTCATTGTACTTAAATAACGTTTTTGTAACCCAAAAAAAAGAATTAAAAATATGAAACGTCGCCTGAGAGATTCGAACTCTCGCGGGGAAACCCCATGTACTTAGCAGGCACACGCCTTAACCACTCGGCCAAAGCGACGTTGTTGATGGACAAATAATCAAAATGTTTTTCTTAACAAAACTAAAAATAAACAATAGAGAAGTTAAGTTGCTCTTTCTCTCTCTCTCATTGCAGTTACAGAAGGTACCAAATGAAAGCAAACAAAAAAAGCGATAAACGAACCACCCACTGATGCCAACAGCTTCGGTGCATGTGGGCCCCATTTTATCTCTCTCTATTTCTTAATCTCCACTTTCCGTTCCTCACACTCTCCTCACCGACGCATAACAAACCCACACACAGAATCGTTTCAATTCAACTCCAACCTACTTCACCGCCATGACGACGACGGCGCCGCCACCAACTCCGCCGTCACTCGAACTAAAAACCTACTGGTGCCACGAATGCGACATGAGCGTCTCTCTCACTTCCTCCCACTCTCCCTCTCCCTCTCCTCCCCTTTGTCCTCAATGTCACACTCATTTCCTCGAACTCATGGACTCCCCTTTCTCCCAAAACGACGCCGATTCGTTTCTCCATTCTTCCTCCTCCCTCTTCGACGTCGTTTTCCAAGACGCGCTTTTACTACTCGCACCCTCTCCCCGTAAAACGCACACCACCGAAACGATCCTTCCTATAATAACCGTTACAGAAACTCTTCTTTCGCTACTCGATCCAAACGGCGTCGTTTTATGCGCGGTTTGTAAGGACGCTATTTCCGTTGACGAAGAAGCGAAACAGCTTCCTTGTGATCATCTTTATCACTCCGATTGTATTACTCCCTGGCTTCGTCTTCGATCTTCTTGTCCTCTCTGTCGATTCCGAATCTCAGAGGATGAAAATGAAGATGAAAATGACGAAGATGATGAAGAGGATTTGAATGGTGCTGATGTGATGAGGGAGATGATGGCGCGGATGGCAGAGTTGTCGGAAGATGATTTCTATGGTCTGAGAATGACTCTCAATTACATTGCTTCCCGGCATGAACTTCTTCATTCTAATGCTTCAGGCGGCGGTGATCATCATGATGCTAGTAGTGAAGTTGGTGGAGATGTAGATGGAGAATCATGATGCTGAAATTCTTTGAGGTATGTTTATCATTTTGTAATGAATCCCTGTGATTTGTGAATCTAGAATTTTGCTCTTTGAAGAGTGCTGCTAACTGTGTTTATGTGTTTGTATGTGTCTGCAAGGGCCTAGGGGTATCTTAAGTAGTATTGATTTAAGAGGTTGATTCCTTAGTCCATGAAAATTCTTTATATTATGCTTAAAATCTATGAAGCACGGTCACCGGAAACACAACACCGATAATAATTTGGAAAAGTGAATAAATTAAACGTAATCACAAGTGTCGGTGTCAGTTTTGGTTTCTGACACATACACACTTTTTTCCTAGAGGTGTCGGTGTTAATGAATAAACTAAACGTAATCAGAAATGTTGGTGTCAGACTAACACAAATACACCTTTTTTCAGAGGTGTTGGTGCTACCGCGTTTAAAATTCTTGATCTGAATGAGAATACACTTGAGCACCTTTAACAAATTCTTGTTTATGAAGAAAGTATATTTGGCAGGAGATAACTCACTTTGTAACAGACAATAGATTTTCAAACAGAAAATAGTCTCCGATGAATAGTTTGTAACTATATTGTAGATTTTGATGTTGTTTATGCTTTTTGTAAGTTGATGTTTCAGCATGCTAGATTCATGGGAGGCTGGTGAAATTTTAAACAGAGTTATTCTTTGTTTCTCTTTTAGTTTGAACTTGTTCATGGAAGCAGCCTTTAATTTTTGAGTTTCTTGTTTCCACTTTCTGTAAACCTGAGTACATGAACATGACAACTCCTTTAAGTTAAGGTCTGTTTAGTTTTGTTCATTATTTTGATGGAGAGAATATGTGCTTATAGACTTTAGTACATGTTTGGTTACAGATTGGTGAGAATAAAACGTATGTCCGAGAGGTCAAAGGCAGTTTGCCAAATTTAGAAGGATGTATGACTCTTGGTTTTGAAATCGTTTCTCCATCCTGAATTGATTCAGATATGAGCAACTATGTCTAGCTTTTCATTGTTGAATCTGTTCTCCATTAAAAACATATGATGCTCAACTTTCACCTTTTATAAAAGGAATCAGCCACCACTTTGTACTCCATGTCATGCCACTATTTTGGATTCCAATAACTTTTGATAGTCCAAGAAAAATCTACTTAGTGTTGAAAGTTGAGAAAGGGAGGGAGAGACATTACAAATTAAACTTAAAACAAAGAGCAATTAAAAAATATGTAAAACAAAAATTGTTGCAATGTTTTCTTTTGAAATCATAAGTTGCAAATGAAACAAGGAAGATTTGATTTCATCCTACTTAGCCTTTATCATTCTCTGGTGTTGAGCAGTAAAACCTCTGTATCTCTAGGTTAGAAGAGAAGAGATATTGGGCTCCAAAGGCCCATTTAGTAATTTATTAGTAAATAAATTAACATAAAGTATAATAATATAATTATAACAAAAAATAAATAATATATATTTATGTATTTATTGATACCATTTTAGTAATTATACGCTTAAAGACAATTTTAATTAAAACTATCCAAATATGTGCAAATATAATCACTTCACTTTCAAATCACTTCTAATTGAACTCCCTTCTAACCAAAACTAAATGTCACTTGAAATGTCAAAAGGGTTTAAAACGGACATTAACGCTTCCCTTCATTAAAATTATTTCCCTCTACTAAATCACATAATACTAGAGCTGTCTCAAAGTTTTGAGAGGTCCTTTGTAAGAAACTGTAGTTAACTTTAGTTGAGTCGTGAATTTTTTAAGGAGGCCTATTTAATTGTAAAGTAACAGTGGAATATGTGTATGGAGGCTCTTTTTTACCATAGCTTAATCATGATAAAGTGTGAGGCCCCGTGTTATAGGCCGCCTTGCACATTCTCAAAGACGGCCTTGCATAAGACGTATCTTAGGAAGTCCCTTTCTTAGCATGGAAAGTTCTCTTTCCAGTGCAACTAAGCACCTTTGGGTTTGTGGCTTAAGAAAAATTTCATAGGAAACAAAGATGAGGATTAAAGGAAAATATTGAAGCATGGGGTTGACTAGTTTTTCATGAATATATTTGTAGTGTTATCACAACTTGCATATTTATAAATGTCAAAACTTCTTATTATCATCATTTTGTATTGGATCATATGCATTTCATTCATTCAAACCGAAACAATAAAAGTGTTCAGTGATTATTGCATGATTCAAGATCGTCAAAACTGAACTCTTGTTATGTTGTATTTTTGCCTGAAAAATGACTAAATTTTCTGTTCAATTGTTAGGTGGAAACACTAAACCTTTTTTCATTTTTTTTTTGAAATAAAATTTAGGTTGGAGAAGGGTAGGGACACCACAACCGATTTTAGAAGATATAATAATAGAATGTAATATGCATTAGTCTGTTCTGTGTCATTAGTTATGTTATATAACTAGTTATTTGGTTGGGCCATTATGGCTATTTAATATTTGCTGCAGAATAGTTAGCACGAATGTCTTGTATGCCTCCTCCACTAGTGTCACCTTTACTAGTCATCTATATTCTATTCTTTAAAAAGGCCCTTCTCTTACTTGTGAACTAATATTATCTATTTCTGATATTCAATTGCAGGTATATAGTGTACTAAAAGAATATTGAAGTTTTATCACCATAAATTGTCTTATCAAGTGTAAATCTGCACAGACGATTATGCTTCTTCTGTATTCCCCTTCTTTTTTAGGAACTCCAACTAGCTAGTTGTAGTGTTATAGCTAGAAATACAATAAAATGATGGAATGCACAAGTGCTGTGCATTTCTATTCCCCTTCTCCACTCTGTATGTTGTTGGTCCTTGAAACTGGACTCTCTTAAACCAAATTATCTTCCATCTTAGTCAATAAAATCACTGTAGTATTCAGCTACCATTTATGTTCTGTCTGTATTGCTGAAGTGGGGTTTTACCGCCGAAACATTTCCTTAGCTGCTTTTTTTTTTTGCATTGTATTAGATGATATTACTTCCTGCCAACATGGCTGATGTTTGTGCATGGGATTGTTGACAGTTTGTAACGTCTGAGTGTTGCTGTGTATCATGCAAGAGCCTTAAAATACATTGTTCTGTCTGAATTAATTTGTCTGGTGGGATTTTCAGAATTTTTAGTAGCTAAAATGTCTTCATGATGTCCCATAAGGCATTTTGAATGGTTTTATTTTCTTAATAAAGACGTTTTCAATAAAGCCAAAATGTTTCATTTGAGAACCTGGCCGCCAACTTCATCATTGTATGACACGTATGGTCATTATTACTCATTATCAATTCCAGAATCAGTTCATTCAGATGAAACTCGACCCGTGTAGTAAAAGTAACGTTATTACTCCATCAGTTTCAAAATGACTGTCGTTTAAGATTTTTGCACACAATTAAATAATGCAATGATATTGTCATAAGATATTACAGTTTTACAAAATTAACTATATTAATATATTAAAAGTAATATAGAGAGTAAAAAGTAAATTACACAATTGAAAAATTAGTAATCATTATTATATTGAAAAGTGAAAATGACTGTTATTTTAAAATAAAATTTATTTACTAAAACGACACTCATTTTGAAACAGAGAAAATAGTTTCTTTCGATCAATTTCATTGGAAATCTGTATTTGATTTTTGCATTGGAAATCTGTATTTGATTTTTGCAAGGAATTTTATAGTATACGACATTAAAAGTATAATGATTAATGATGGCTAAATAATTAATAAAATATATTTTCTACTATCCACTTTATGGCTGTAATTAGTTGTAAACAGTTAAACTAACAACCTCTAACGAACTGCTTATAAAAAAATACCTTTAACCATATCACATACTGAAGCAGTTGATCAAGTCTCATAAAGTATAGTAAGTAAAATTAAAAAGCACAAGTATAACTCAATTATTTATTTTCAGCTTATTCTATTGACCCCAAGGTGAGTAGGTTATTTAATTACCATTGGTGTCACTATCACACATGACAACAAATCTTATTTTGTCATCCGATGGCTAAGCAAATTAAAAATGTCTTAATTTCCATATATCACAAGGTACTATATGAGACCAAGTGGATTAAAAGGATGAGTCAGCACCTTCAATTCCGTGACGCCAAATTGACCAACATTATACTCCTAGGAAAGTTCCTTCTAACTTCTTCTAATTTGTCAACAAGAAGCAATCAACTCGTTCAATTATTTCTCCCTTGTAAAATTAAAATTGCATTTCATCATAGCCACTAAAATTTTGACACGTCTACAATTTTAGCACCCTTCTGGATAACAATGAAACTTCCACCTCCATCACAACGTGGAAATTAACAAGTCAAAACTTCATGCAATAATAATTTAATCATTTCCTTAGTTTTCCCAACACGTCCTTCTACCAATAAACATCTATAAAAAGGACTCCCCATGCAAATTATTTCAATTCAACAATATTCATTTCATCATCAGAGCATTTCTCTCGTTCTACCTTGCTTTCATACATAGATTTCCTCAAGTAATAGTTGAAGGGTATAGTTTGTTACATTAATCTGTGTTCACACAAAATTGTTCAAAAATGGATAGTACCTTAGGTGACATGTTGGTTAAGGTGGTTGTGTTCTTCCTAGTCCAAGCTTTGGTGTATCTTATTCTTTCAAATTCATCAAACATATTCTCCAAGGATATCAAGAGATCAAACAGTTTCAGGCCGGCGCGTTCTCTGAGTATTCGCCGAATGTTGGCTTTGCTTTCCGATTTCCCACCAGAAGGAGAACCTTCTCCTTCTACAAAGAGTCCTCAACCACAAGCTACTCAAAGTTAGAATCAATATTGTATCATGACAAATTTGTAAATTATTTATCTTATTGTAAGTGTAGAGAGGCTATTACAAAATTAGTTAAGCAGTAATAGCTCAATTATTCATTTGTTTTTTATTTTTAGAAAATAGACTAGGATGTACTATAATATATTTATGAATGGAATTGGATTGATATTTAATTTTTATTAAGAACTCAATGATTGTGGTTCATTCGATTGCTTGTTAGAGAATTGAATATGCAACTTGCAAAGTTGTATATCACTCGTATACATAACTTATTGAGTATGCTTGGGGTGTGGTTTTATTAATTTGGGAGCAATCTATGGAATTGAATTGGCCATTTTGATTAATTCCCCTCTAGTGTTTAAGAATCAGCTGTGAAACTGTTGGCATATATTAAAGTGAATTAATTCCCAATGAAAAATCAAAACTACTTATAAAGTCTGAAAATTATTTTTAGACACACTCAAAATACATCAAATCCTTTTCTAATTGAGAAACATCATGTTTTGCTAAAGAAAAATTGAAAATATATTTCTGGAATAAATCTGAAAGTATATGATAAGAAGATTCAAAGCTCATTAGGAAGAAAAAGACATTTGTTTTACTTAAGAATTTCTATTATTAACGGGGTGCAATTAGATTTATTCTTTAGTCATATTTTTTTTAATGTATTTCTCTTCTTAGTTGGTCCATGGCCCAATTTGTAGTTTAACCCTACTACTCTTTGTTGCTTGAAGGTTAATAAAAAATCTGAAAATTATTTTTTATGTTTTTATCTTCTTATGCAATCCTAGATTTAATTTTAGTCTTAGCATAATCTAATATTAGTGCTTTCATTTTGCTCTCATGGCTCTCTCTAAATCTACCAATCCTTCTTCTCGTGACATTGTAGAAGAAGTTGTTCAAACAATCCACATCCATCTTGATAATGCTATGAATTAAATCCAACAACAAATGAATGAAAGGCTTGATAAAGCCAATGCAGAGTTGCAACAACATATTGGACAAATTCATACAAGGCTGGTGTTGGCTCTTGAATTCGAGACCTACTATATATTGGCCCCATAGACCAAAAATAGAGCAGATAAAGCCAAGCTGGAAAATGCTTCGACGAATGGAAAAAACTTAGAGAAAATATCTGAGTTACAAATTGGTCTTCGACCATACATCACCATCAAGTCTTCGACGAGAAAGGTCCTGTGGCCTTCGACTAGAAGAACAAACCTTCGTGTCAGCACCGGAGACGAAAGATATTTAAATTTGAAGATTGGAGGGAAATGCGGTTCACCAGCAGTTAAGGGAAAGCGACGTGGCAGGAAGATAGAGGTCGAGGGACATGCAGAAGACACTTGTCTTCTGTTGGCTCCTAAATTCGACACCCTTGTTTTATTAATGTCAGCCATTAAAGCTGAAGGATGTTTTCGACTAGCTAAGTCCGTCGAAATGCCCATCGAAAGATGGCAAGGTACTTAAAAGATTTCTTCCAAGGGAGAAGTTGGTTGCCTTCGACGTCGATGGAGTTTCTCGTCGAAGATGCTGCTCGACGAAGGTGTTCGATGGTTCAGAGTGGAGCAGTTTGAAATTCAAGCGTTTGGAGGGAAAACGGTTTCCAGCGGTTACCAAGTGCGACGTGCGAAGATCTGGAGCGTCGAACGTTGAGAACGTGCCAAGTGGAATCATCTCGAAGCAGTGTAACTGCCCGACGGTTACTTGGGATGTTTTAGTATAAATAGTAGTAGTCATGTAGTTTCTCGCGTGTGTTCACAATTATATACAAAGTCACTCATATAGATTCGAGTACCCAGCGTGTGAGAAAGAATTATTGAGAAATGTATGTGTGAAACACCAACTTTATTAATCAAAGTCGTTTACTTTCCCAGAAATTTATTTGCTTTCTTCTTTACTTTCCTGTCGAACCCTTTCATTTAAAGCCTTATTTATTTTACCAAGTCCTTTCTTCATACAATTTATTTAAAGCCTCTTCATTTTATTGTCATTTAACTAATATCCAATTTAATCAAAACTTCAAAATCAACCTATGTCCTAGGATCAATCTGATCGATCCTGCGAGTAACCAAATAAGTAACCATTTGGAGGATCAGCGGTTGTTTACCAAATACCCAGGTAAACAAATTGGCACGCCCAGTGGGACTGTGTGTTGGTTGTTGAAAATAATCTCATCTTCTCGAGGAGTGTTGTATGTTATTGAGAAGTGGTAGAATATACACTAACGATAACAATACTGCCAGAAGAAGGGAAGAGATGGCGAATCCGCCAAACAATAACGAAATCCCACAAACGAATGTGGGAGCAACGGTTAGTACGACCGTAAGTGAAGCGACAACTGTTGGTTCGACACCAGCAGTAACGGTCACAGTAACGGGGCCATTACTTTCGTTCACGGGCCCCAGGATGCCTTTGGGAACTCCCCCACCAAGGGGAAATTTAGGCACAAGGCCTTTTGCGCCACCAGGATTTATGCCACTCTATGGTATGCCAACTTCTGAATTGGCTAGCCTGACAAATGCTGCGTCCACTTTTTCAGACCCTTTAGTGAGTGCCTCTTCGCCACTCCAAGGTTCTGGAGTAGGCATGGCGAATAGAAATAGGACCCAACTCTTAGGAGGAACGTCCCAAGTAGCCCATGGCCTTACAAATGCCTCGACAGCAGTCTTGAGGCAACAAATGGACGAAAGCAACCATGATATGGTACAAATGTTGGCACAAACTTTAAGTACAGTGCTGAACCCTCTAATACAAAACACTACTCAATCGAATCAGCAAGTGACAGCGCAAATGACGCGTTTGGCTGATTTCTTTGGAGTACCCCAACCTATTCGACAGCCCCAAAGGGCGCAAATAAGGGGAAACCAGGGGATATTCTTAGAGGAAGAAACCACCATCAATCAGGCTCAGCAGCCTGTCGAAGAAAACCTTAGGGCACGATTGGAGCAACCCGCCGAAGAACCTAGGGTAATAACCCCAGAGGTAAGGTTAGTTAACAGAAACCAAAATGCTGACGAAGTAGTCCAGCATATCCAATACCAGAATACGGGTTTGGAAAATAATCTGGCAACCATGATCGAAAGGATCATGACTCAAAATGGGATGAACATGGGCTTTCGAAGGCCCAACTTTACATCTCCATTGTCAGAGTACGTGTTACAGACAGACTTACCTCCTAGATGCAAAGTCCCCAAATTTACTAAGTTCTCTGGGGACACGACAGAATATATTGTCGAGCATGTGGCGAGATACTTGATCGAAGCAGGTGACATTTCGAAAAACGAAAACCTGAGGATCAAGTACTTCCCGAGTTCTTTAACAAAGAACGCTTTTACTTGGTTTACAACTCTTCCCCCCAATTCGATCCATCATTGGACCCAGTTGGAAAGATTGTTCCATGAACAATTCTACATGGGGCAAACCAAGATAAGCCTGAAAGAATTGGCCAGTGTGAAGAGACGTTTCACTGAACCTATAGACGAATATCTAAATAGGTTTAGGTTGCTCAAGGCGAGATGCTTTACACAAGTGCCAGAACATGAGTTAGTCGAAATAGCCGCATGCGGTTTAGATTATTCCATTAGGAAGAAGCTAGACACCCAATACCTGAGAGACATGGCCCAACTGGCCGATAGAGTTCGACAGGTAGAACGCCTCAAAGCTGAAAAAGCAAAGGCAACGAAAACTCACAAGAGAGAGAGGATAGCGTACGTTGAGATGGATGACGAAGATCCGGAATCCTTCGACGATACTTTAGCTGTCGAAGAAGGAGAAGTCGATTTAGCAGAACTGAAACAAGGGCCACCATACTCTCGTAAACTGTTAGTCCCCTCAAGTGGGAAAAATCCCATTGGTCCAGAAAGGACCAACGATAGGTTCCCCAAAAAGACTTATAGTTTTGACATCACAAAATGTGATGAAATATTCGACTTGCTTGTTAAAGATGGCCAAATGATAGTACCCCCAGGGGTAAAAGTGCCTCCTCTTGATCAAAGAAAGAAGAGAGGTTTTTGCAAATATCATAATTTTTTGGGCCATAAAACTTCTCAATGTTTTCTTTTCAGGAATCTTGTGCAAGACGCTATCGAAGAAGGGAGGTTGAAGTTTGCTGACAAAACCCCCATGGCTGTCGACTCAAATCCATTGCAGGCTGAAGCCCACTATGCTGAGCCCTCTGAGGTGAACGTGATAGAGGCAACCAGGAGCCAGTCGAAGAAGCCAGGAATCACAATGGTCGAAGTCTCAAAGGACCATATCAACATGCCAATCTTTGGCAGTTTTTCTGGAAATTTATCCAGGAAGACAATTGAAGCAGTTCAGAATGCGGTCGAAAGCCCGAAGTTGGAGACCGCTGAAGCACAAAAAACTGAACCAAAACCCAGTTCCCACTTGGCCACAGTTCAAGGCCAGACGGAGAATCTGGAGATACAAATGAAGCAGTTAACTCTTGCTAACAAAGATACAATGAATATCAACATGGTCGAACTTTCTGATCCAAAAGCATCAGAAGAGGCCATGAGGCAAGAACAAGCTAATAAGACTGCTTTCCCTCGGGAAAATGAAAATTTGGCAGATTTTCTACAAAGATGCCAGAAAAAGAAATCAGAGGTGATGCTGTGTCCAAGATGCAGTTCGATCTTTGACAAAAAAGCTGCTGAGCACATTCAAGGCGTAAGAGCAGCGAATAAGAGAAGGGAAAACGTTGATCTTTGACATGATCCCAGAAGAGCCTCCCAAAGAGGTTCAAACCAAGAAAAGAGGCCATTGACTTTTAGGCCTCCCACAAATGTGCCAGTAGATACTTGGTACAAAACCTCTGGTCGAAAAAGGCCAAGTGAGGAGAGATGGCACTCTTTCGACGTGCCAAGGGGTTCCTCTTTGACTCAAAAGAAAGAGCCTCAGGTTGCTGCACCTAAAGTTGCACAAGTGTCAAGCAACTACAAAGGTAAAAATCCCATGTCTCGATCTCAACGGAGGAGATACCAAAGGAGACG